TAACAGTATAATGCGGGATCTAATAAATTATAAAAATGATTTGCTCGCACTTGAGGATATTTTGAAAGAACTTGATAAAGAGCTAAAATAAGTTTTATATATTCGGGTTCACAATAGAACCCAGATAATATTACAAAAGTGCGGTGCTAACACGTCGTTGGACGGTGTCGCTTTAGCGACCTGTTCAAAAGACTGGTTAGCCCAAAAATTAGGCAATACGCTCAAGGCTAATAATTTTACCCAGGCATTCATCACAGAAGAAAAGCCCGCAGGTCTCACATACAATCAGTTATCTTAGTTTTCTATCCTGTGGATTATTTTCAAATGCGTTTTATAAGTGTCATTTGAGAGTAACGCTTTTTCACAGTATTTACAAGGGACTGTAATACCTTCCATGTATGTGTTGAAATATTTGGCTATAAGATCATAATCATTGCTGATCATAAAGTAATAGTTCTTAGCTTTGTATTTCTTTTTCATCTCCTCTTGGGCCTCAGAAATTTGGTAATTATTAGTTGGGCTTTTAAATTCAACACAAAATCTGGAATAATCTTATGATAATTCATGATCATAATGTCAGGCTGACCTTTCATGTAACACTTTTTTCTAGTAGTTAATTCTTTTGGAACAAGTGTTCTGTAATTCGCCAAGCCCGCCTACAATAGCCTCAGGATACAACCTGCGGATATATTCAACTACTTTACTGTGTAGATCGGTCTCATTTTCAATCTTAAACATCAGGTTATTAGGATTGTCGAATAATTTGTTTTGTCCATATTTCCTAATTGATGGGAGTACTTGTGCGAAGACCCAATCCTGGAATTTTTTAGCGGCTTCTAATTTTGAAGCAAATACAAGGGAGTAAACACCAGGTTCTGATATAAAAAATTGGTGTCTGACCTGACCGCCCATTTGGTCGGGTTGCTTTTCTTGTATTTTTCATCCACATGTTGTCGGATAGCTTTATCGGTATTGACATAACCAAGGATCTGGGCAATGTCTTTACCTCGGAACTAAATACTTTGCCTGGCATCTATATAAAAAGCTAGCTCAATTTTTTAATTCATCACTGACATATATTTTTTCCAACATCATTCTCATTATAATGGTATATATTAATATCTCTTCAAATATGTTTGGTTCCAACAGCCAGATATTACTCTTTTTCCTCCTCCTCGCCAACTTCAAAGATCACTCCTAGGACGCCTGTTAATGTCATCTCTGCTGTTTCCAGCTTTTTGGAGATCAATTTTTTATGACGTAATGTGGCAATCTCTTCCAATTTTTGGATTTTAGTGAATAGTTTATTGAGTTCAGTTTCCTTATTACGGATTCTGGTATTTAACTTTCTTATATGATCGTCCATTTATACTATTATTTAGATAAATCTTGTAAACTGCTCAGTGGAATCCAGGAATTGAAGTCGTCGCTATAACCCAACCAGTTCACAANAGCTCAATTTTTTAATTCATCACTGACATATATTTTTTCCAACATCATTCTCATTATAATGGTATATATTAATATCTCTTCAAATATGTTTGGTTCCAACAGCCAGATATTACTCTTTTTCCTCCTCCTCGCCAACTTCAAAGATCACTCCTAGGACGCCTGTTAATGTCATCTCTGCTGTTTCCAGCTTTTTGGAGATCAATTTTTTATGACGTAATGTGGCAATCTCTTCCAATTTTTGGATTTTAGTGAATAGTTTATTGAGTTCAGTTTCCTTATTACGGATTCTGGTATTTAACTTTCTTATATGATCGTCCATTTATACTATTATTTAGATAAATCTTGTAAACTGCTCAGTGGAATCCAGGAATTGAAGTCGTCGCTATAACCCAACCAGTTCACAAGAGCTTGTTTCTTCTTATATTTTCCCTGAATGACTTTATCAATGCGGAATATATCTTGGGTTGCCTTTAGTAATTCCGGTTCATAAAAGCTCTCTTGTAGTTCCTCGTTGTTGAGATCCTTTAATCTGTAGGTGATTGGATTTGTGGATAAATTTTATCGACCACGAATATCTCTTCAGTCCAATTAGGTGTGTAGCCTTTGTCAAACACCTTTCTTTTGTAATTACTTATCCTAACTTTATCACCAACCTTGAATTTGGGCTTAGATGACAATTGCTCCATATTGCCATATAGATTGAAATACACGGCATTTTGATTCTTCTTTTTACTGGCTTCTGCAGGTGCCATTTTAATGGCACTGTGCTTAGTGTTATTATACTGCTTCAGTATTTTTGGTAGTATGTCTAAATATACTGTACTACCCTGGACAGTGAATTGTCTCCACATCTTGGTTTTGATTGTACGGTTCCGTCTTTCGCAAACACTAGATTTCTCCTCATTCTCGGTTGAGTATAGTGTTATGTTATCTTTTTTCAACAGTTCCTTAAGGTATTTGTTATAATATTCTTTCCCTTTATCAGTTCATAGATATTGTGGTTTACGGCCTTCTTCGAAGATGGTTTTGAATGCTTTTGTGACAGTTTCTCCTTTTTTATCCTTCAACGGGACAATCCAACCATATCTGGAGAAAAGGTCTAATACCATGAGAAAATATCTGTAACCTTTGTTCCATTTGTTGAATTGTTGCATTTCAACCAGAACGGAGCACCAAATCTTATCGATACCGTTTACAATGACACTCCGCCGAGTAAAGTTGAGCTTTATCCGCTTATGTAATTCATCTGCTAATTGCTTTTGCCAGTTTTCTTCACTCGATGGCTTTTTCAGTTTAAACCAAGCCCGAGTTTCTGCTTTGAGTTGATTACATTTCTAGCCTGCCAATGGCCCCATTGTCTATCTATGGAATGGCATCAAGTGATTTTACCATTTTTCGGTCAGCCTTAGGTTTGCACTTCTGGTTATCACCACAGACGGAATAATCAACGTCATGCTGCATGGCTATAGCATCTGTTCTTCCAGTTGGTGGATCATATATTTCTAACATTTCGCCCGTTTCTGGGTCATGTCGTACTTGGTTTTCTAAATCATTAGACGGACCTGTATTCATGCCCTGGTAATGTCCGTCAGGCCTTTGGTTTTGGTAATTTGCCAATTTGCCTGCGAATGTCTATTCCACTTCCAAATCCTGGGAATGTAAAAGAGGGTTTAGGAACAGCTCCAATCGTTTTTGTAAAACTAGTGTAAGAACCTTTGAGGCCCAAGTTTTTAACAGCGTCATAGGATCTATGTAATGCATCCACAAGCTTTTTCATGTCGGCTTCTTCTTTTTTGGCGGGAGTTTTCCATAAATCAGGTTCTTTTAACAATTTGAATCTGGTTTTGAAATCCACGTGATACGGAGATCCTGCTACACCACTTTTTGTAAGCTTATCTCGGGCCTTATCTAGGATGCTAGATCCTTGTTGAAAAATATGTCCTTAACAGAGTGTCGATAAAAATTGCCCCAATGTCCCCCCCATATCCAAATATTTCTGCTTGTTCCCAAGCATATTTGGCCAGATCCTGTTGATATTTTTTGTATTTTTTGGGGTCTGTTAAGATGTCATTTAGTTTGTTTGTTAATTCTTGAATGACGTCACCACCCCTTGTCCTACCAACCATTTTATATGGATCTGGGTCTCCAAGGTCTTCCCTATTGGTTTTATATGCCTTTTTAGGTCTGATCTGTGTTTACAATTGGTCAAGAGCTTCAGACCCACCTTTTTTGTGCCACAGGAGTGAGCTTTTTTAGTCCATAATTAATATTCTATATTCCGTAAATACATAGAGAATACTTCATGGAAAGTGCTGGCGTACGGTATTTACGCACGAGTTGTTGAAGTATCAGAAATCGAACGAGTGAGCGAAGCGAACGAGTAATATTTCTGATACAGAAACAACGAGTGCGTAAATACCGTACAAAGCACTTTCCATGTGGTATTGTGTTTATTATATACATACTGAGACATTCATCATTTTGGTGGCCTTTTTATTTTAAATCTTTCAAAAATGATAAAATTTGCCGCTACACACTTACCGCAAAATGACAAGGAAAACGAAGTATCAGCTTTTTAGTAAAAACGTTTGTTAAAAACATGAATGACGGTGAGGATATGAGGTAATCTAAGAACTATAAGTAATCTTAACTGTTTGTTCTCAACGCACAATTGAAAATGAGTGAATTTAAGTAAAATGGCCGGTTTCAATATAAGCTTAAGCTTAAAATGAAAGGCAAAGTAGCTCCGACAAAAAGCACAACAAGAGCTTACGTCTCGTTCTGTTTATCCCTTTCCGCTGTTGTTTCTCCGGCTCTCTACCGTTTTCTTTATCGAGAGTGAAACAAACGAAACTATTCACTTTTTTAGCGAGAAAAACTCTTTGAGTAAAACTTTTCTCGTTGAATGTGTGCGAAGTGGCGCTGCAAGCTGCAATAAGAGGCGGGAATTTTGGCGCGAAACTCACGCACCTGTGTGGCTTCTGATTGGACGTATCATTTTTCTCACACGTGAAAAAACATCGTTCGCGATTCTGATTGGACGTATCATTTTTTTCACGTGTGAAAACCATCGTTCGCTCCTCTGATTGGCTAGAACTAATTTGCGTACGAAAATTTACGACATAGCTTTTTGGTGAGTATTTCTCAGTATGAATATAATAAAGACGGATTTTATATAACTAGCCCTAAAGTCACATATCCAAACAAGAAAGATGTTAACTTCAAAGTCAAAAATATTGGCAATGCGGATATGACAGACTCCAATTCCACATACTTTGAAAAACATTATCGCGAAAATATGGACATCAATGACTACAAAACTCAAACAGGAACTGGCTCTATTTATCATGGAGAAGCTGGCTGTGGCAAAACAACTGAACTCTGCAAAATGGTGCTAAAAGCCGAGGATCCAATCATACTATCCTTCACTAATAAGGCTGTTTAGAATGTAAAAGAGAGACTCAGGAATCATGTGTGATTAAGACAGAAGAGAGGATCTGAGCGGTATTTGCCATACATTTTACTCTTGTGACTGGCATAGCCGTGATATGTCCGATCTTGAGGGCAAAACTATGTTCATTGAGGAGTACAGTATGGTTCCCAACAAATGGATGACTAAAATATACCAAGCTTTTTCCAAATATTGCAATACAGTATATCTATTCGGCGACAAAAACCAGTGTAACCCTGTTGAAGGCCATTCCCAAATACATTATAATTACTTCACTTCCAAAACCATAATGGATATGTGTCCAGAAAGAGTAAAGCTGGAGTACATTGAGGGTTGTTCACGGTACGATACAAAAACACGGGAAAAGTTAACCAAATTTTTAAAAACTGGAAAAATACAGCCTGAATTTCCTGCTATTGGTAAATACTATAAGAACATATGTTATCTCAATAAAACGAGAAGAACAGTTACAGAAATTTGCTGTAATGAGTTTGTCAAAAACAAAAAGGACAATGTGGTAAACTTTAAATATAACGGCAAAGCAGAACATTGTAAAGTAGCTGTCGGTATGTCTATTCTGGTCACGCAAAACTTAAAAAGGGAGTGCATGTTTAATATGGTGGAATTCAGGATTTATGAAATAGATGAACACGGCACTAGTTTCAAAGTTAATAACGTATGGTTTGAGCACAATGATTTGAGACAAAGTTTTATCCCTGCATTTTGCTGTGCTGTGTATAAATACCAAGATGCCGATATCAAAGAAAACTATAATATCCTCGATGTGAACAGAATGGATAAAAAACAGTTGTACACATTTCTTAGCCGAACTACCAAATTTGAGTACACCCATCTTAATAACCAAAAACTAAACAGAAAATATGTACCTCGTCTTCAACCAAAACTAGAACTAATGAATAGTCACCTTAACAGCGATTTTCTTTATGGCAAAATATATGAAGTTACTTTTGAAAATAGCGATAAGATATCTGTTGGGTTAACTTGCGAAAAACTCACACAAGACTCAAATGGCATGTTACTAACAAAACGAGCCAAGGGTATAAAAATCGCAAATATATTCCAAAGATAAAACTCATTGTTAAAGCCCCGAGTAAAGACAGAAAACCACTCGAAAAGGTTGAAAATGAGTGCATCCATGGATACGCTACGAAATATGGTGACAAATTATTGAACATAAAATCAAACCCTAATTTGAAAAGTAAAGAGGTCAAATTCAAGGTCAGTATGGAAAATGAAACACAGTTTCGTGAGAGATTAACCAAACTTGGGATAACATTAATAAATTAAAGATGATCCCGTTAACAAGTTCTTTTATTATGACGGAAAGGTGGGTGGTGAAAGGTACAGAGGTGTTCCAGCTTACAAACAGAGCTCAAAAGAGGAAGCAATGACAAAACTAACCAAAAAACAGCAAAAATTAATCGAAGAATTGACAATCGACTTAAACTAAAAAATGAAAAAGAGTGAGAACAAAAAGTAGCCAGGGGTAAGGGCAAAAAAATACTAACATCTATAAAGTGGTGGGATAGGCCACTGTATGGATGAAGGAAATGTCCTCATGAATGCTGGAGTCTTTTTGGGAGAAACGAGCGAAGCGAGAGAGAGAGCGTACTGATAGGGGTATGTGAGAAACAGTCGGGACAGCCATCGAAGTCCTTTCCTTTTGTTAGCTTGCTAACGTTGCTTTTTGCTGTTGTTGTTGTTGTATAGGCATGATGAAGTGAAGCAGCTCCAAACTATCTGAAGTTGAAGTCAGTTTTTAATTTTGCTCCAATTACGAAGTGGAGCGTTCCTTGCAAGAAAAGGAACACCTTATGCAGAAAAGAAAATTATATGCCGTTAATAAATAAGTTGAAGCTTTGCGTAGTCTGAAAATTACAGTGCACGTTTCGTTGCTTGTTTTGCGACTAGTCGTGCACACTTGAAACTTGTTTTTTTTATTTATCGCTAGTCTTTTTGAAAGGCGAAGGATTTCTATTTCATTGCCCAGGCTTTTTCGCGTTCCCCACGTTGTTTTTACCATCAAGTTTTCTAATTTGTCTTGTCGACCACCTTTTACATACAAAGGGGTTAAGCCGGAAAGAAAAAAGAAAGACATCTAGGGAAATTAAACTCAGTAATTGTTTGGTGCCTGGTCAAAACAAATTGATTCTCCGTTGATCACAGTTTTGTAGAAAACAATTTTTCCAAGTTTGATTTAAGTCTAAATGACCTTTAATTACACACCTGTAAAGAGAATACATTTTACTCCTGACCTAAACTGTACCTATGAAAATTAACTTTTTCAAATAAATTTATCGCTTTGTGTATCTGAACTGGTGTCTATAATAAGTATCAAAGCAATGATGTGCAACTTAATTGTAATGCTCACAAGGAACGTATACCTTCTTGCGTAAGGTTATTAAACACTGGCCTTCAAAGATCGTACCTCAGTGAAGCGGTCTCCTGATTGGCTGATGGAAGTCTTGGTTAATAAGTTTTTTTTATACAAAACGGAAAATTGAACTAAATCTTCAACTTAGATAAACTTATCCTATTTATTTCTTATTTTGAATTGCTCATGAGACAATGTAGAAATTTCTGATTAGGTTGTCTATTGATACCACCTGTTCAATGTAGCATGCAAGCGTAGAGCAACTTCAGAAAGCGTTGCAAGCGTAGCCAACATCGCAAGGGCAAGAAGTGTAGCAAACAAACGTAGCAAGGGTAGTAAGTGTAGCAAATGTACTGTAGCAAGCGTAGAACGCGTAGCAAGAGTAACGAGTGTAGCATGCGCAGGTAGCAAATGTAGCAAGCAAACTTTGCAAACGTAGGAAGAGGAGCGTAGCAAGTGTACCAAACGAAGCGAACGTAACAATTGCAGCAAGTGTAGCAACCGTAACAGGTGTGGCAAGTGTAGCAAGATGAGCAAGTGTAGCAATTGGTGAACACACTGGTAATTCGTTTGTTTTACGTTTTTGACTATAAGAGCATGCTCTCTGTAAGNAATAAATTTATCGCTTTGTGTATCTGAACTGGTGTCTATAATAAGTATCAAAGCAATGATGTGCAACTTAATTGTAATGCTCACAAGGAACGTATACCTTCTTGCGTAAGGTTATTAAACACTGGCCTTCAAAGATCGTACCTCAGTGAAGCGGTCTCCTGATTGGCTGATGGAAGTCTTGGTTAATAAGTTTTTTTTATACAAAACGGAAAATTGAACTAAATCTTCAACTTAGATAAACTTATCCTATTTATTTCTTATTTTGAATTGCTCATGAGACAATGTAGAAATTTCTGATTAGGTTGTCTATTGATACCACCTGTTCAATGTAGCACGCAAGCGTAGCAACTTCAGAAAGCGTTGCAAGCGTAGCCAACATAGCAAGGGCAAGAAGTGTAGCAAACAAACGTAGCAAGGGTAGTAAGTGTAGCAAATGTACTGTAGCAAGCGTAGAACGCGTAGCAAGAGTAACGAGTGTAGCATGCGCAGGTAGCAAACGTAGCAAGCAAACTTTGCAAACGTAGGAAGAGGAGCGTAGCAAGTGTACCAAACGAAGCGAACGTAACAATTGCAGCAAGTGTAGCAACCGTAACAGGTGTGGCAAGTGTAGCAAGATGAGCAAGTGTAGCAATTGGTGAACACACTGGTAATTCGTTTGTTTTACGTTTTTGACTATAAGAGCATGCTCTCTGTAAGACTTGTTAATGCTTGCGGCACTACATTACCCTCCTTACCTTCTTAGTACCAAGCAGTGGTGGTTTACATAAAATACTCATACATGAGGTAAGACGTTACTGTTAAAGCAAGCAATCGATACCAGGGGTTTTTCTCCCGCTGCTTCGTTTAAATCACGGATCTACGTTTATATCATGGGTCTGCATTTCTCGAAACTTCCGAAAGACTACTTTACGTGAACTTAGTTCATTAAAAGAAATCGGATTCCTAGCATTTTTCGACTATTTTTAGGAAAGCGCTGGCTATAAAATGGAGAAGTAAATTGGGGTAGTTTGTCTAAAAAGCTAGTCGCAATTGCTACAAAACAAACTTGAAAAATTATGTTTGGGCATGAAACATTTCCCATAGTTTTGAGAGACGCACACCAGGTAAAGCAAAGTCCTGTGGTTTTCATATTGTCTCGTTCCGTTACTGCGACTGGAGGCCGGTTATAATAGAGGTTTGGCTGTATCTTTGTCTACCTGTAATTCAGGTAATTCAGCCTCCAGCAAATATAAAATCAGCACAAACCAGTTGCAATCTTTGCATGATTAAAATGGACAACCTTCTTCAGTTCTAGAATCGTTTTTTTGGTCACATGACATTTCAAATATATTCCTTGAAAATCAGTACATTTCCCGTCTTTATGCCCTTTTGAGGTTCCCAGTTAATTAATTTCTAAGGGGTACAAAGGATATTTTGACAATGAATAATATAAGGGGACGACGTTTCTACCCCTAAACTGACCTATACCGTAAAAGATCCATTAAACCCCTTGGCTGAATTTATTTTAAGCACTTTTTTGAGAGGGACCTCTTTAATTTATATCCAGTGTCCATAATAGGGAGGCGTTTAAAAAGATTTGCGTCTTGGTAAATGGATCTGCCAAAATATATACATAACGATTTCGTCCCCGATGTCAATGTCGATATTATAAAAAGTGTCCTAAACTTGCACAGAGAGCTGAGATTTATGCCCTTCTGCCTGATCTTGCCTGAGATAAACGATTTCAGCAAAAATAATTAATAAAAAAACCCTTCAAAGGCGTTACCGTTATTATTATGCGTGTGATTGAACAAGATATGGTGCGTGCTTAGTAGGGTTGGGAGTAGTATGAATACCTCTTCTTAGCCGAGTTTTGAAAATATTGACGCAGATCACACGGACCATACCGTAAAATTCCGAAAATAAGCCCCTCCGTGTATAAGCCCCTCCAAAAATAAGCCCCCCAAACCGGTAACGCAAAAAACTCTCCGTTAAATCGCCCCGCCAAATATAAGCCCCCTAGGGGCTTGTACTTGGAAAATTGCCCTCAAATACAAAGTAAAACAAAGCAAAAACGGTAAATTTACTTCCAACTATGAGGCTAGCCCAATCGATTTTGAAACGCAAATTTCCCTCCGTAGATAAGCCCTCCGAATATAAGCCCCTCCAAAAATAAGCCCCTCAAAAAGGGCCTTTGAAAAATATAAGTCCCGGGGCTTATTTTCGGAATTTTACGGTATTTTCTTCCACGGAAAGGTTACAATTCAATTTCTACATCAGCTTCATTCTCATTCAAACAAAGCTAGGTTAAAATCTGGAAAGGAAAGGTCAACATCGCAGTCCTCAGGGTTTACAGACATTTTTTTAAAGTATATTCGGTCAAAACTAAGAGCACTGTAATTATTCACTCGCCAATGTGACGCTGGAGTCTTTTGAAAACTGGACATTGTGTCTGGCTCGGTTTCGCTTCTATCTTTCTTTCGTTGGTCTTTGAAAAAACACTGCAAATGACAAAGAAGCTCTTCAAGATGATCGGGTGCAGGCATGTTTGTTGTCATATTTGTCGAAGGAATTACTCATTTTCTCTCAGGCAAAACATCTCGAATCCCTGCCAGTCGATTTTCGTCTTCTTAACTGTGTACTACGATAAAATTTTCAAACACTGACTAGAATCCTCTTCGATAAGATTACGAGTTAGTTTCTTCATCGCCTTCGTTCACAAATAAACACAGTTTAAAATGTTGAAGGACAAAGTCAAAATCTAAGTCATCGAGGTTGATAGACGTCTTGTAAGTTAATTTTAACCTTTTTTCCGAGGTAGAGAGATTTAGAGCTCCGAAATAAGTTTTGTTCTTTGAAATTGTGGTCCGTATAGCAAGTTACGGACCCCAAATTGACCAATCGCATGGCGAAAACAGACTCAGCCATATAATAAAGTAGGGTAGGGTTGGCGAGAGGCTATTAGTAAGGGCTTATAATCAGAAACTGCGCTTGTATTGGATTGTTCGCCCTGGTGACTCATTTAACTTGAAGTTTACTCTGATGACCAAACGATTATTTTAAACTTGAAAAGAATTCTGCTGCCTCATACAGAAACATCATTCAGACTGTTTTTCTGCTAAAATTCCCTTTTCTATTTTCCTCTTAGAATATAACATTTAGCGTACATTTATGTGAAGAAGGTAGGTGGCAATTTTATTTTGAGGCACTTTTGACCGAAAAAAACGTCTAAATCCCTATGACATAGCTCCTCTAACATTTGACGTAGAGAGAATTTATCATTCACGTATTGTAAACACGAAAGCGTCAAAGCAAAATTCTAACCCAAATTTAGCCTGAAGTGCTTGCCGCTTTCTCGCCCGACACATTACGCAAAATAACCTTAAAATCCAGTCCCAACGTCGACAGAAACGCGAGTCGCGTTTGCTACAAAACCGACTTGAAAAATACTTCTCGGGGCTCTAAATGTTTGAGAAACGCAAGCCCTAAATGTTTTCTAGAGTTTTGAGAAACGCACGATTGCAAAGTTGTAGGGAGCTCTGAGAAAAGAACGCCTGCAATTTATTTCTGATCAACTTATACTTTGACTCTTAGCCGTAGACCTTTCGAAACTGTAGCTTGTGTTGAGACTAATCGGTCATTGATTTATCAAACTTTCACCATCTTCATCTTTCAGATGGGGATATCTTATTTCCTTTATAACATTTTCTGTTTTACCATGTGAGTTTTGACTGGCCAGTTTGAGGAATTGTGACTCACGTGTTAGCTTCTCTGCTTTCAGAGTTCTGTCCAACATCTAACATCTGACAGTCGTCCATCACTATCAATCAACAAAAGTTCTTTGATGAGCCACGTTTTACCTGGATCCAGTTCTACTACGGCTTTGCATTATGTCCAATGACGAATCTACAGTGGCCCGTATGAGGACATTACAATATTTTTTTCCCGCTAAGTTATCGCGCGATTTTGTTTACTTTGTCTGAGAAAATTCGAGCTCGCGATAAAGTTTACTTTGACTGAGAAATTTATCGCACAATAACTTTTGAAACGTCGAAGATCAAGCAAGTAATCTACAAAAATGGCGCACACGTGTTTCGCTCTGCTAGAAATCTCTGTGCTATTCGCGTTAATTCATTTATCAAGCGCAGTCCTACCGCCTTATATCGGTGGTGATTTGCATCATGAAATAGCTAACGGAGAGAGACGAGCTAATCAGGAGTTACTAAAGTATGGGTCTGAACTATTCTGAAATACCAATCTAAGCAAAGTAAAAAAAGTGCAATAAAATAAAGATTTTTTTTGGGATCCAAAGTTTTTATCCAACTAACATGGATTTCATTATCCGGCATAGCTATTTTCCCCGACTCCACAGTTTTTTTTAATTGGATCCAACGTTTTTTTCCTGACATCCAAAGTTGTTGCTAGGGATCCAAAGTTATTACTCCGGATCCAAGGTTTTACTTCAGATCCAAAAATCCAAACCAATTTGATAACGCCATTCTGGAATTTGAACACGTGACAAGTTTAAAAGACTGTTGCTTGGAATTGTTGAATCAAGGAAAGAATTTTTTCTGTACCGGTGTTTAGGATCACTTCTTATGGCAGAACGGCAACAAAATCAATAGATCTAATTAGCAAACAAGCAAAAATTGCACTTGCAGCACACATTTTAAGGTACATTTCTTTGCCGTTGCTTTGCACGACTACAAAGCCGTTTTGTACGGGTAAACTAACATCAAAGCCAGGACTCGACGCAGGACTCGACAATTTTTCGCTTTCCCGTCATTTCACCTCCTGCAAATCACATGACCATTAAGAGGAGGGTTTCCGTGGCAATCATGGAAGGTAAGGGTAAGGGTTAGGTTAGGGTCAGGGTTAGGGTTAGGGTTAGGTTAGGGTTAGGGGTAGGTTGTATTTTTTTATTTGGTATTTTAACTAGGCTAACACGACTCACCTACTTAGCACTGTTTTCAAAATACAACGCACCCGGAATTAGTGAGATGAAATCGTCAACGTTTCACGGTTCAACGTATTGTATATTTTTCAAAAATGGTGAGAAACAAAAGCAAATACAACGCTGTAAATAGCTTTTAAAAGCGATAAATGTAATTTGTAATAGAATCCAATATGGTCGATCTAAGCTGATCTTGCTTGAATCCATAATATTTATATTTAGCCAAGCCTAAAAGCGGAGCTCCCGATTTCATAACAATAAGAATGTAATGATAACGATAATAATGATGATGATGATAACCCTACATTGCCCAATGTCGTGTTCATTGTTTACAAACAATCCCATGTTCTCTACTCTTCAGAACGATATATAAATGTTAATAATATAAATAAACTTCCAATAGTAGCTTACCACCATCCTAACAATATAAGCGATATTTTTGTTAGAGCCCAATTACCAGAGACTGATAACTGTAACAACGCCCGTTCCACTCCCGGTTTTTTTCGGTGCAACGGCAGTAAATGCAACACTTGCCCCTATATTGACCACGGTTTACATCGAAACCGTAGTTTCAGAACACTTTCTCAGCAATAGTCATTTTGTTTCCCATACCGTGTGTTACTTATTATATTTTATAAAATAACTAAGGTAGTACGCGCGTTCTGATTGGTTAAAACCTATGGTTTATTGTGCCAGTAAACTCACAGAAAACTTAAAGTTATTTTATAAAAGCATATATATATATATATATATATATATATATTCGTTTTCTGAGTAGAACGTATTTCGTAGAGCGCTCGACTCAATTGATTGAGGAGCGTCAGCTATATATATATAAATATTGGAAGTAGGAAAAAAACTACACTTTCATCCCGACAAGCCTGTTTCGTGATCTCTCACTCTTCAGGGGATTTTAATGATAAGAATATTCATAACCATCGACTATATACTTTGAGATTACATTGTTGGGGAAAATTTAAATTTAAATGTTTAATTGTTACATAGCAACGCTTTGTTTCTGTGGCGGCAAGAAGATACGTTTGTTAAGTGATGATAGATTGGGACGACAGATAATTAAAAATTTCTCTTTGAGGCAAAGGTTACACCTTTTACTTGAACTGTTATAGGATGAGCTAGATGAAATGATACGCCATGAAATAGAGTAGTCAATGTTGTTGTCTTTCAGGGACCAGACATGTTTACTTAGTTCCGTAGAGTTCCTGTGTTTTGTGTGACGGAATGATGCAGTGTGGTTTCTGTACCTAGTTTTGAAGGGGTTTTCTGTGAGTCCGATATATGTTTCAGAAGTGTTATTGTCGT